CCACGAAAGCTTATGCTCCAACACTTCAGTTAGTCTATAAGGGTATGTCTACACTACCCCGCTAGTTCGAACTAGCGGGGTAATGTAGGCATACCGCAATTGCAAATGAAGCCCGGGATTTGAATTTCCCGGGCTTCATTTGCATAAGCAGGGCGCCATTTTTAAATCCCCGCTCGTTCGAACCCCGTGCCGCGCGGCTACACACGGCACGAACTAGGTAGTTCGAACTAGGCTTCCTAGTTCGAACTACCGTTACTCCTCATTCCACGAAATTCAAATCCTGGGCTTCATTTGCAATTGCAGTATGCCTACATTACCCCACTAGTTCGAACTAGCGGGGTAGTGTAGACATACCCTAAGGTGCCACAGGACGCCTCACCACTTTTGCAAGATTCAGACTAACACGGCTACCCCTCTGATACTAGAAAAACATGGCACCAAGTTTGCAGGGGTGGCCAGTCTACTCAGCCCCGCTGATGAAGGCGTAGTGTTGGTACCGAAGAGTGGCATGCCTAGTATTGACGTGAGTGCTAGTTCCTGTTGCGTAGTAAGTGGTCTAAATGGCAGGAAGGCTGGCACCAACGATGCTGAGGTCTGTGAGTGCTGTGATACCAGGTCGTTATGTGCATTGGACGTTTGTGCTGGGGAGGCCTTGGTATGCACAGTCGGTACCGACTTCGAAGGTGCCTTCCGAGACGGATCCATCACCCTTTTGCCAGAATGTGCAATGGCGGTTTGGGCACCAATTTCGCCGGTATTGGAGCCTTCGATAACAACAAAGTAGAAGCCGTCTTCTGTTTTGGCACCAAGATCACAGGACATGATCCTCCTCCTCTTTGGAGGAGACTGCCCCCCGGGGTTTTTCCGTACTGGACTTCCCCAGTACCTGCGTTTCCTCTAAAGCTTTTGCCCTGGGTGAAGAGGGCTTGTGCTAAGGGGATGTCTTCTATGTTGGTCTATCATCCGATGGCGAGGAATGCTTTCTTTTTGCCATTTTCTTTGTGGGCTCATCCCTTGATGCTGGTCCCTGGTCTGAAACAGCTGTTGGTGGGTATGGGTCAGTGATGCAGTAGATGCCAGTTCCAAAACCGGTATCTCTACCTTCTCCATGGAAAGGAGCTTGAGTTGGCGTTTCCTCACTTTCAAGGACCTGGCTAACAGTTTCTTACTATCATTTACAGAATGATCGTCACCCAAGCACTTGATACACTGGGCATGCCTGTCCAAAATGGGTATGGACATCTTGCATGTTAGGCACTACTTGAAACCTGGTGAACCTGGCATGTCTACACTAACACTATAATAATAAGAGAGAAAGAACCTCTTTATTTTTTTTAA